TGAGGAGTGCAGTGAGGATGAAGTGAGAATAGTATCTGAAATTATTCACTCATTTACTATTAATTTCAGTTTTCCTTTCATCTGGCAGTCACCTAAACTTGCCTTTTCTCCATGTCATTTCATCCTTCTCAATTAACTACCAAATGGTCTCCCCGAAACCATCCTGTCTTATAGGTGTGCCCCTACCATCAGCCACAAGATGGTTTACAGATATTTGCAACCGAATGGAGGAAAGGAATGGTTGATAATACCTATGGCCACATATCAATATCATATGTATGTTTTGTTTCACTTGTCCCTGTAAATGTTTCAACACTGCATGAATAGAAGTTATTGAAGAATCCGTCAGACAATAACCTGCTGAATGAGGTCAAAACCGGTAAGCGTTTTAATCAATATACCCAACTAAATAAAGGCTTTTAATACATTTCCTCTCCTTGCTGCCTAAGAGGGAGTGAATAATGTTTTCTTTTCTTCACTGTGATCAGTTTTTCATTTTCAAGAGCACTTTAATGCTTCCTTGATTCAGTGCAACACAGTGATCCACTAAGACCACTAGACCGCTTCTTTTGTCTTTGCTTTGGTGGATTATTTGAATCCACTTTGTAGGGTACAATAATTTTCACTAGACATTCAGACTCTTCAAAATGCCAAACAGACTATATAATGGCCTATACAGTCAATGGTGAACGATTTTGCATACAGCCTGTATGTTTTCTGCCAAATCCAGGATATCTTATAGCACTCTGTAGTACCACACCACACACCATCCTGTACAAACACAGGGGGAGGCACTGTTGAGCTCCGCCACACACTACAGAAGCACACCACAGATGTGGAGGTTCTTTAATGAATGTTTCTGATTTCTTCTCCATCTGTTCTTCAGTCCAGGTAGGCTTAGTAAGAATAGGGGTAAGAAGTGGGAAAGACTAATCTTTTGCTTTGTACCCTATGCTCAAAGCTGTCCCTCATCTTTCTCTGTCTAGATCATCAGTCATAGTGGCCACACAGTACACAGCTTCATGGTGTAAAGCCTCAGTGCACCTTTCTCCACAAGACTCACCAGGCTTGTGATCTTACTAAGTTGTATTCTGTTCATACATGTTTTCCTGGTAGAGATGAGCACCCTAATGTAACAGTCTCCCAAGACGTATCTGTATTATGGAACAACAAGACAAGTCTGACAGAAGCATCAAATGTCAAAAATACACTAAGAACTTTGCACTGGAATTATCAAGAATGTTTAAATGTGGTGTTGTGGTCTCAAATGTTTTTTATGAGTCCCAGTTGCTGCTGTTCATTTCTATGTGACAAGCAAAAGACTAGGAAATCTCCAACCACAGGATCAAAAGCCCAAGCAAATGTGCATGCATTAATATCAAAACCAGTATATAATTCAAATCACTTTATATCAAAAACCACCCGTTTATATAGTAAACTAATTTCCAGATAAACACAAGAATTAAGTAGGGCTGCACAATATGCAAAAAAAAAAAATTTCATTGTCACTGATAATGTTTCGATTATATTTCGATTAATTGTGCAGCCCTAATTAAGTGTAATCAGCAGGCAACAAAATTCACACAAAAGTTACTTCTATTGACTTTGCTTAGATTTAACAGGCTTTATGAAGTTAGTTACTTTTAGCTGGTACCAGAAACTAGTAAGTCACCCTGTCAGGGTGTTAGTCAGTTGAAAATATTTTGTACAACATTACAGTGGATGTACCAGTAAAGAGCACAGCAACAGAGTGTGAACTGAAGCTCACTGTTGCATCACTGTGTCATGCATCACTGAGAGTAACTCAGTTGTTAATCAGTTTACTATGCCAAAGATACCAAGTGAATCAATATAACACCACAGTGGTTGCAGTCAATTGCACATTATATGTCTGATTAAAGTCTTCCTTGCAAGCAACAGTAAGTCATGAGTTGTTGTTTAACATAAACAAAAAGGAATCACACTTTCTATTGGTCAAGTGACAGACGACCAATCACGACAAAAACCAAGCAAGTGACCAATCATAGATACTGATTCCTCAAACCATCTCTAGGGTCAACCTGTGTCAAGTTTGACAGCATGGAATGGATCTTCAAGATGCTTGTGTTATCAACACATGGTAGGTTGAATTATAAACTATTAAAATGTATTATCGCATGCTTTAAAGTGAACATTTTCTCTTCTCCAGGTTGTGCAATCGCAAGTCTGTTATTCTGCCAGCAAGCTGCATTCCCGATGATGCAACTACAGTTGTTTTGATACTGTCTGTACACTCTTACAATTTTTATGTTTGCATGGTAACATCTTCCGCATTTTGAATCATTGTTCTTACTCAACTTTGCCACGATCAACTTTTTCCTTATCAATTTGACGGTCACTCCAGTCTACATTATGTGATTTACTTCATTGAAAAGTAAAGTGACATACAGACTAAGGGAAACAAGTCAAAAAGATACATTGGTATTTGATCCTAGGTCAGTGGGGGGCGCATGATACTCAAAAATATGAAATGCTAATCCCTCACAATCTAATTAAAAAAACCTATACAACTAATCAAACTGACTGCAGTGTGTCAATGTTTGTTCTTACCGTGCACAGCAAAAACGTTGCAGGGCTGGGTCCCATGGCGTGATGACTCTCTCTTCCCACCCTTTATAAAGGCTGGCAGACTGGGTCTCCTCTGGTCCCCGACAAACTTCCCCGGCTGCTGCCCCATAAGGGCAGGGTGCCAGGCCGCAGCCGGGACTCTCCAAGCTGGACTCAGTTGCTCACCGTCCAACCGTTGGCCCCCCAGGCAGGGAGGGGAGCCCCTTTCCCTGACTCCGTCTGTCCTCTCCTGGAGTATGGGTGATGCAAGTCACCTATGCAGATCCGTATTACTCCAGTATGTCTCTGTTTATCATGCATTAATGGAGCCTGAGTGCATCAGAGGTCAAAAAAAGGCATTTCACAGGAATCTAAAGAAAAAAAAACAATTATGACTCAATGATGATCTCATTAAGAGCGATACGATACTTTCAAACAGAATAAATGCATTTGAAAACTTTAAAAACAGTACAGGTGATTCTGACATTTTTAAACTGCAAACAACACTCTCACAGTGAATCAGAGGTGACTTAAACATGTGCATGTTGAAATAAACATTACAACTATTCCAAGCAAATTAATCAGATGTTTACGTGTCAAATAACTAACCTAAACTGGCTCTTACTTGTCCTACTTCAACTAGCCTATGTTGTCAGTACATCTGTATTATACACCATTACACCATAAATGTGTTTCCTAGTGTATACAGCCCCATTTCCCTCTCTTGCATCTAGGATGCATGTCCTCTGAATGTCCTCTTTATAACGTCAATCAAGCTCTTGAAATGACAAGCTAACGTTGTTGAACCTCAGTGTGCTGCAGGTTGCACGCATAACTCCCAATACGTTCAGTGCTAATAGGGAACAACAACAAAGTGGCTGATGCAAAAACTATTACATGGAGGACATACAAAGGAAGGTCACTGAAAAGCAGCAGAGCGTTAATTATTGTTATCATTAACCCCATTGTTCTTGGGCAACTTTTTATTACAAAAGCGATGTCAAAAACATCAATTCATGAGTAATAAGCACTTAAATAAAAAATGGCAGCTTTTAGACAACATTTCACAAACTTGTATCGTAGTCACAAACTTATGGAGTAAAGATAAGTGTGAACAGAAACTTACATGTCCAAGGAAACATTTATATTGATGGTTAGCTGGCGACCTCAAGCTAGTGTTGAAGGTAGCCATGGAGGCTAACTAACGTTAGCTGGTGGTAAGCAGCGCCAGACCCTTAAATGCACATCGAGCAGTCAACAGTTGGCTCTTGCTGGGTCGCTGTGAACACGCTGGTAATAAAAGTCGGACAAGTGCACTTTAATGCCTCACAAAAACATTTCTGGCCACCTCAATTCAATACTTTTGCAACTGTGCTTTCCAAAGCCACATAAATCAGTTTGTTTCAAACTTCCGTGTCCACTCTTCCCGTCTTTCGGAGCTTCTTCCCCTGTGGTACCCGGACTAAAGGCACTTCTATCAAGGAGGCGAAGAGAAATCGAGGAAACTCAGCCGGCGAGAGACCGACGACTCTTCCTGCAAGTCCTTTCCTCTGTTTACAGTCGCCGAGCTCTTCGTTACCGACTCCTCGGTCTCTGTACTTATTCATCGCTCTCACGTGAAAATCTGAGCAATAAACTTTGGCCGAGTAGTAGTTGTGTGGCTGGGGCCGCCATACTTCATACGCAAGGTGGTTTACAGAAATATGTGGGTGGGGCAACGTGTGACGTCACGTGCGTGCGTGGGCTAGTACATGGGATCAGAGCAGAGGTTCTATTATGCTGGGAGAGCAAGAGGAAAGAGTAATAATTCTACAACTCCACTGAGACAGACAGCATTCAAAGACAATGTGAAAGTACACACACCAAACCTTGCTTTGTTACTTTTTTTTTTTAAAGAATCATCTTTACTCTCTTCTTAATTACAGTGGATTTTGTCTAAGCTGTGTTATTTACAAGATAATGTTGTCTTCTAAAGAAATGAAAGCTTAAGATTTTTTTTTCTGCTTTGCCCAAACATATATGTAATGATGACACTGTAAAGTACATATGATGTTTTTCTACTAATACCAGTATAGGCCAATAATTTAAAAGTGATATATCAGCTGTGTTTGTTTAGCTTACTTTATCCAGTTCAATAGTAATAAGTTAGTGCTGTCTTTTGTATATAAACATTTTGAAAGTGCGCATAAATTTATGCTTCTACCGAATCAATGAGAGCAGAGAGCCTGCTACACTTCTGTACACTTCTTGTTATTGCTAATGGGGAAAGTTTGCATAAAATACTTGAACTAAAACCCATTGTGTAGTTTGAATTATCCTGACGTGCATCTCCTTTCTTACTGCTTCTCTTGAATCTTGTGTCTTCACTATTCAACAAAACATACCACACTGAGTACTGAAAATCATAGAAAATTTATTGCATACAACAGTTTTTGTATAACCTCCCACAGTATCAAAAGTGTTCCACTATACCTCTGTAAAACTTAAGAAGAGCTGCTCAAGTGATTTCTGCAGTATTTTGAAAGTTACTCATACTTATGATTAGCAGTCAAACAATGATCAGCAGTTTTTCTGACAAGACCTGAACTACCCATCAGGCTGTCACAATAGGGAGGATTCTGTGGAAAAAAGCCAGTTGAGTCTTTAGGTAGGTGGTCCGTCCTTGACATAGATACTCGGCATGATTTTGGGACAGGGTCAGTTTGGATTTGTGTTGTCTAACCTTCCTGTTCAAACAGCTTCTGTTGCGTCAACATTACAATCTCCTCCATCACCTCTGGTTTCAAGATGTCCTTGACCTGCAGAGAGTGTAAGGTGTAGAATAGTAGATCAGCTGCACTGAAATAAATTGGTTATTTAAACTACCAAATCTTATGGATTCTGATGTACAATATTTACATTGTTACACTGACAAAATGTAATAAAAAATTATGCATAATGCGCATTTATTCTTACACTTTGTGAATGCAGTATTTCCCCTCAATCCTCTTAGTAATACCAGTAAACATTTTTGTTGTTTTTGGTTTTTGTTACTGGGACAAACAAGGAACAAGAAACACAGCAATAATGTCTACTACTATGAGTTGCAGCTTCAGAGGCGACTGCTCAGTAACTCATACAACAGGTTAGTTTTGGTTAGGTACTGTAATTAGCAACCAAGAAACCATTGCAAATTAATATCTACATTGATAACTAATCAAGTATTGCCTGTGCAATGTGTTAACAACAACATGCTAATAGGAGATGAGCTGATATGCTGTTATATTACATAAGCGCAACATTTATGAGAAGCATTAGCGATTAAGTCATCAGTTCCCCACCCCAAAGATAAATAAAATAAACCATGTCTGTTCCACAATGTTACAACAGCAGAGTCAAAGTTGAGAACTGCAATCAATTGTTTACCTCGAGTGTTACCCAGGAGCTGTGGGTTTCCAATATGGCCACAAGATGGCACAATACATCATAGACATGTCAACTTTTTTATTGCAGTATCTTTTCATTGCTTTTGCTTTACATTTGTGAGATGGCAGGTGCAATTCAAAAACAATTGCATACTGGCTTTACTGATTGTCATTACAGTGCTTCTTACCTGATGTTGAAGTGAAGATTCATAGCAATAAAGAACACTGGTGTCATACAAAAGGACCTTGTGTGCAGCCAGTGCCAGCAGACAGTTTCTCAAACGGGAAATCACCTCTCGGTCTGACAGGTTAACAGGCTGAAAGGACAGAGACAAGAGATGCACAAAAAAAATGATCAGAATGTACACAAAAATAGAAATATAGACACAGTAAATTCAAATTAATACAAACCAAGTGCTGCATCTTTACAGTTCACTTACATACAGTACTGAAAGATATTCAAACAAGACCAGATACATTTCTCAAACAAACTGTGGATATCAATAAAGTTAATTTTCCCACTGTTCCCACCTCCAAACTAGTTCACAATTAGCTTCATAGTATAAAGATAAAATATTGTTCTTTGTGCATCCTGTACACACCTCCAAACTGGTGTAGAAGCCTCCAGCCTCCTCCTCCTGTTGACCCGGTGTGGGATACAACCACACAAAACCATTATTCCCGAGGATGATGGATGCACCACACGGCAGGTTGTGGAAATGTGTTTTCTGCCTCTTGATCAGAGAAGGGGAAAGCTGTACCAGCACTCCTTGACCCAACTAATGGTCAGAGAAAATACAGAAAGGATATCAGGTAATATGAAGACTGTCTCTAAAACAATAAGAATAACTACTGATTTACAGTATTTTCTTTTAATAATACAGTTTTACAATCCACATTACGTATTTAAACAAAGTGTAATCGCCAAGATAATCATTTCTAGGTTATAGGTATGTGATTTGTTGTGATGTTCACAATTATGTATAAGTTGGTTACTGAACCAAAAACAGTGAAAGAGTTTTAGACTAATCCACAATCTGGGTAGATACGCACATGTCACTGTGTACACTGGCATAACTTACCTTTCCATACTTTAAACTACGGGTGTGAAGCGACAGGGCTCCATCAGAGAAGACAGACTGCACCTCTGCCTAAAAGCACAGGAGAAACACACCAAAGACATTATGGATAAAAGAAAAAGAAGATTGATCAGCTTTTGAAAGATCATAAAAAAAATGATTAGTTACACTGATGAGATCGCCCTCCTGAAGGTATTCTCTCATGGTGAGCTCATCTTCTGCTGATCTTCTCCTCTAAAAGACAAAATCAAATAAAATATTTGAACAATAACTAAAAGTTGGCTTTTAATATCTTCCTGCCCAAACCAATTCCGGTATCCTTCCGAATAATGTTAGTTCAGCTAACAATGTAATACACGGACCACTTCTAGAAGTGAATCACATTTTCTAGCATCTCACCAGCTCTCCTCCAGGCAGATTGACGGAAGACAGCAAGAGGACAGAGTCCAGCCGGGAGTTGGTCTCCACCTTCCACCGTTTCTGTTGTACCTGAACATTAAAAAAGTCTTACTGACCAAAATATCATGTCAGAAATGTCTACCACCACACAGAAGAAGTGACATGGAGAAGCACCTTACCTCTGTAATTCTTCCGACCACCACATCTCCAACCTCACCATTGAATCTGCAAGTCAATAAAATACAACAGAAAAACAATTACATCAATTCACAAAAGCAGCAGTAAGTAAACCTATTAAAATCCGAGCACACATCAGTTTTTTTTTTACCTCAATTGAAACACTTACCTGGTCTTAAGTGGTCTGACACAGATCAGCTTGTCTACTCTCTGCACCTCTCCAGCGACTGAAGCCGTCAGCTTGTCTTCATCAACATAGGTACCATGACCCCTGGGGATAAATGGTGTATAGCACTGTTAATGAGTGATGCAGCCAAACACGATTGTTTTAAAGAATAAGCTGGGTTAACAATGACCTCCAGATGGTGCTCATAGACAACACAGCCCCTGTTTTAAAGGATCAAATTATGATTTTGTTCCTGTTAAGTGTCCATAATCACCATTTAACTTCAGAATTTGTAAATCAGCCTGAAAATGGAGGATTTACCCTACTCATTATAGATGGCACACCAGACAGGCTGAGTATAGGCCTATGTTTTAAATCTTTCACAAACTCGTCACCAGCTAAAGCAGTGTTATTATGGAAGGAGCACGAGTTTTAAAGAGATCAAGGCGGTGCAGACAGTAGGTTTTAGCTGTGTATGAATACTTTTATTTGCTGTCAATCTAAGACTAACTTTCTTGTCTTTACAAGCAAGATACCAAAGATCAGCAAGCTATTCAGTTTGATTTCCTTCAAGGGGGACATCATGTGGCAACCGTAGACAAAACAAGCTACCGATCAATCACCGGTAAACCAACCGGTACCTACCTCATGAAACCAGTGTCTGAAGTGATAACATCGCCGGGGACGACCAGATCTTTTCGATCGAAAGCAGAAATTGACACTGGTTTTCGAATAGTTGGTAATCTCATGTCAGCAGCCATGCTTACGTTTGTTCTTCTTCTTCTCCTACTTCCCTCTCTGGCAGTTGACAAACAGCTACACGTGTTCTACCGCCACCTATTGAAACAGGAGCCTCAATGTTTTTTCCTACCTAACGTTACCGGTACTTTAAACACTGCCTGATAACGCCATCAACACGGAAGAATAGAAGATATGATTAAGCATAAATCAGACAGCTCGCTAAGCTAGGAAATAAACAACACATAGACAGCAAAAATCATTTTGTCGTGTTCTTGTAAATACAGTGGTGATGTTGTTGTACCAAATTTGTTTACAAACGTGGAAGATAGATTGGAGCATGACTAGTTCAGTAACATTTTGTCAGTTTGTATTTATTGTTCTGCTGTAATGTGCTGGTGAAAATGTGTCTTTCTTGCAGGGTTTGAAGACATTTTATTCTTACACCACCAGATGTCAGTGACGAGCCACGTTGGCGTCGACGCAACCGTGGTTTCGCATAACGGTGAAATGACGTCAGATGTCAACACGACGCAAACTTCTTCATTGTAGCCAATGAGCTTAGAGTCTCGCAGACTCTTGTAAAGATGGCGACTGTGAGATACAGAGGAGTAAAAACTGGACGCTTTGCTGTTATTAAACATCGCTGGTGCAGACACCGTAAGGATTGATACGGCAGCGGGAGAGAAAGTTAGTCGACCCATCTGCCATCCGCAGCACGCTTTTTGGTGCTATATGGTGTCACCACGGGCCTGGTTGCTTTTGTTTTCGGTTACACTGTCGTTGCCTTGGACAGCTCATTAGCTTCAAGTTGGAAATTCGGTGCTAGCCCGGGGCTAGCTGTATAGCTCCGTCGGCTGCTTGGAAATTTCTGTATGGCATCTATGGATTGATAGCCTGACCAGGGTAAACGGTGAACTGCCTATACTTATTTAAAGTTTTGTTATTTTCACAGATAGAGGCCTCATGAGTCACTTGGATTAAAAATACATTAGGAGGAATAAGGGGCACCGACGATCTGGCATTGCGACACTGTTTGCAGTGCCGAGGCGCAGAGAGTTTGCCGTCATGTATTTTCTAACCGGCTGGCCCCGGAGGCTGCTATGTCCGCTGAGGAGCGAAGAGGAGCCATTCCACATCCAGCCCAGCTCCCAGAGGTTTTACTTCGCCGTGCTGTCAGAGACGCAGCTGAGCGTATGGTTTAGTCGGGTAAGTCAACCGGCTGCAGCTTCACTTCAGTCATGCTCACGAACTCAGCTGCACAGTCAAAAACAATGCGTGTAGCGCTGCTTTCATTTTGTTTAATGCTAGGCAAAGGTGAGCATGGTGCATTAAACCTGCTTCACACACTACAACCGCCATTATTTTATTTTCAGATGCGTAGCATTACTGCGTGGCAATCTGGCTGACTGCCTTTCATGTTTATTAAAAGGATAGTTGATAAAAATGGAGAGCAAAATGGTGTCGTTACTGAGGTATTTACCCTGATGTGTTGGCAAACGCTGCCACATACACACCTATCGCATAGATGACAGGTGACATTGTTACGCATCATAACAGTTTGTGTGTATCCGTATACGTGTGCCTTTCACAAAGACAGAGCAGAACAGTTAATCACTACATTGTATCTGAATGGAGTTCCGCTCATTCACTCTCTCATTCATGACAAGGCATTGGTGGCTTTTCATCTTTGTAGCCACAGGAATTGAAGTTCACCTGATGAATGCTTCATGTCAGGCAGAGGGCAGCTCACACCTCCCCCGGGGGGAATGCAGACAGGTTGCTTTTCTCGGGTACATTCAGTACTTGAGGTGCAATTTCCTATTTTTATCACACTGCTACAAACGGCTCATCAAGTTCAAAGTTTAAGTTATTATCAGCATGGGATTTCCAATGGGGTTTAAAACAAATACTCACTGAGTGCATGCTGTGGTATGTTCTGTCAGGCAGCAGCTCAACAGGCTGCCAGAGTTAAATGATTAATGAAAACAATCAAGCCAGCACATTTGATCCCTTTTATTTTCATTCTTTCCACCACAGCAGCATAAGACGAGAGGAAAATTTCACAGTAACTCAGAAATAAAGTTGCTTTTCTCAAAAAGACGTCTGTGTAGTTGAAGGCCAATGTTGACATACTCTTTTTTTTTTTTTTTTTTTTAAGACAGTCTTTTCAACAACATGATGAGTTTTGTCTCAGCCTTCTTGGAATTCTTGAGTCAATTGATATCAATTTAATTGATATGCCTTTTTCACAAAAAGGGTCCTGTGTTTAAACCAGTTCCTTGACCAAATCGTGAGCTCTTTCAAGCACCATCACATCCAAAACGGCTGGCTAAATTGATTCCGTTACAGGCCCTGCACTTGCTGGTCTAGAGCCAAGGGAACTATGATGTTACGTCATAATGCCATAAACCTTTCATTTGTACCAGCCGGCCAGAATCATTGTGACCAGTGATGTGACTTTTAAGGTGAGACATGGGAGTAAATTTACAGAGGTTAATGGAAATACTGTAAGCCAGTGGTTTATCAATATTTTCCAGAACAATGAAATAAATCATTGCCAAATTGATGCAAACTTTAAAAAATAGTCTATAGTGACTGCAAATGCAAAGACTTTAAAACATGGTGCTGAGCAATTCAGTTCAGAAAATGATGTCAATTTTGACTTGTTTTAGTTAGTACTATCAAACTGTCAACTCACCCGAGGTTTGAGGTGATGTGCAAGATGGTGGTAGCTACAGTGGAGTAACAATGGATCAGGGTCACTCATTTCCTGAGGCCCACACAGGATGTGACCATGTTTTGCTTCCCCTCTTTCTTAAGAACTCTACCTGCCTGTGAGTATCAATAAAGCATCCAGGATAAGGGTCATCTCAGGAATGTCAATTGGAACTGCCTCTTCCTCCTGTCATGCACCGTTCACATCTGTTCTATCCATTGTGTCTTTTCAGTTCACTATCCATTCCAACTCTACACACAGGGATACAGTAGAGGCATTTGTTTGCTCAATTTTCTCAAGTTCTGTATTTCCTAAATATATTTAAATGCATACATAATGCAAACATATTGAAAATTTAACAATATATAAATACAGTAGCAGCACTGTGACATTAAATTAGATATAGTGTAGGTAATGGGTTATTGCATTGTCATGAAATGCAATCAATACTGTCCTCTACTTATTCTAAATGCTGTTGTGACACAGTTTATATTACTGTTGAAGCTGAGTAAAGCTGTCATAATAAAGTATTTTATAAAAATCACATATTTTTGTAATGTGAAAGTAATATGTGTAATGTGTCTGTCGTGGTTCATATTATAGCCTAGCAGACATAGACTCTACATAGATACTATTTTCTGCTGCTTAATGTGGTGAATATAGGTGATTGTAAATCCACCATTTCTCCTCTATCATTTTGCAACCAGGTCTATTCTCTTTAATCCCATCTATCCTCAACCTTGGCCAGTGGAGCCTGAGCCCGGCTAGTTAAGTCAAGGCATTATTACTAATCCGTGTAGCACAGTAGCTCAGCCTAGTAGCCGTTCTGTTCTGTCACCCTGCTACAGCTGTATGGTATGGGAGGGGAGGGGGGCACTGCCCAGGATGTCTAGGAATAGAGGGATGGACTGTGTTGGTGTGGCAGTGCTATTATGCAATAGTAGCACCATAGCTGGCTTTGGTTGAAAATTAGCACTGTTGTGTGTGTATGTGCACATATGGTTTGCACATAGTTGATTGTGAGCAATTCTTTACGCTTCCCTGGGATTTCTTCAGTTTCCCCAACTGACAGCATGAAATTGTGGTAAAGCATGAGAAATGGCAATGCAGAGGAAATACATGAGCTGAAGTCCCTTCTACCCTGCAAACGGTTTCATCTTTAGCTCAGTAAGAATAATGTATTTTGGTTTTTTATTTTTTGTTGTCATGCAAACTCAGGTCCTTCTGGGTCAGTTTTTTTCTGTTGGCACGTCTGCCTGTGTATTAGTAGGCATTAAACCGGCCTGCAGAGCTCGGTGATGCAGTGACTTTTGTGAAAATACAATAACCAAAGTTATTGATGGATGATTTTACAGAATCCTGTCAAGTCTTTTCTTTTACTCTTTATAGTTAATGATGATTAAGTTTGATTTAGTTGTGTTTGTGTTGCAGTGACTGATCCAAAAAATTCTCAATAACTGTCAACAAGCAGTTGTTTTGAATTTTGAATGGTTAATTGTACAAAATAATAATAACTGAAATACATTGTGGAGGAAAAGTGAGCATTTTCCAGGTATAGGGAAAAGGAAGACAGGAGAGGACTATTTGCACAGTCAACTATTAGCACAGCTGCAGAGGAAGAGAAGAAAATGTAATTCATAAACACACCCATTATTTAAATTAATTTTTCTACCTGGAGACCTTTGTGGAAGAGGTTTTCTTTTTTTAAATGCAGTGAGGGTGTACATTTTTATTAGATTTTATTATTACAGTCAACAATAAACATTATTTATACATTATTTTTATCTTATAATTTCTTCAGAGGGTGTATATGTAAGAGTATATTGCCCATTGAAGCATTTCACCCTACATTCTGATTAGGTCTGCACTCCTAAAACCTAAAACAACACTGCTAAAATGAATCAAAAAGTAACCTGTGAGAGTAATGTCACATGTAAGTTTTGTTCACTTCCGCTGACTTTCAGACCGTTTGCAGTCGACGTCTGTCCATTTTTGGTTTTAAAGGAATTTATAAAACTTGTTGTAAAGCTTTTATTGTAATTCAAATAAGTGCACATAAATCAGGTAAATAACATAAATGTTTGTTTCTTTTTTTCTTTGGTTTCTTTGGGGTGTTGTAGGGGAAACACCGCAGTTTATCAGATGTAGATATGAACCTCAAATTAATGGTAAAATTAAGCACATTAACTCTTCTCCTTTTCTGGCATTAAATTTTAATTCTACGAAAGGAACACTGAAGGCTAGGAATACTTAAAACCCGCTCTCTCATTACAGTGACTGGGTACAAGGTCTAATGTTGCATAGCGGGCATTACATGAGCTATTTCCCTGCTTTCATTACCGAACTGAAACCATTCGGTTAACAGTGTCCTGGTTTTCTCTTTAATTTCAAGGTCTGTTACATGTCTCACTGAAAACAGAATTAGCTGTCAATAATTTAGTTTTAAAATTATTATGCTGCAGTTCCTTACTTCCTATTTCTGTGTCTGAAAAGAAAGAGGATCAACTGAATAAAAAGAGATCACCAGAACGGTAGCATCATAAGCTAAAAAAAAACATTAACCTGTCTCAATAGCAATGTTTTTTGCCGGGAAATAAGACAAATTAGCAGACATATTTATGTTATGATTAGGTATTAACTCATTTTCAGTAATAATCTGTAGTATTAAAATTGCATTGCATAGTTAAACTGTACAACTTTACAACACTGTAAATAAGCAGTATTATGCTGTGCCAGGTGTTGAGCTTTCTGGTGTTCAATAACTGACTTCATTACCACAGCACCTCTTCAACAGCTGTTCTAACACCTGCTGATGTCGCAATTTGCTCTTTGAACGTTAGTATAAATCATAAGTTACTCTCTGCTTCTTATTTTACTGCAGATCATAAAGATGAAGATGCAAGCATACAATAGTTAAAATCCAGTGTTATATTAGGGGACGGGAATAAACTGGTGATGATGATTGTTCTGTGATCCAGACAAATATCTGCCATAGTGATTCAGGGGTAGAAGCAAATTAAGGGCAACAGCCTCAGGCAAAGTCTGTTCATCTGTCTGTCCGTGTTGCATGGTATGAACAGTAGCCTGAATATGCTCTTGAAAGATTTTTTTTCAGAATAAATGAGCCTCGCAAAGTAAAAATGAGCAGTTTATCAGTGGCTATCGGAGCAATCACATTATTTTGCGACAGAATTTTTATCCGTATTGTTCCTTTGCCAGTGAACCTTCATTTAAGCAGTTAAATGAGTGGCAACAAATCCCCCTCCAGCACACTAGTGTTAAATATCAAATGTCAGTCATCACTGTAAATGTTATCATGCTTTTAAGTACCGCTCTTTCAGCATGTTTAAAAAATGATTCGGTTCAATAGATTTAAAAAAAAAAAAAATTGGTGGTGTGTTGCTGTGACCAATTAAAGGAACATTGCACCCCAAAATAAGAGTGTTATTTTCAGTCTAAGAATAATTACTTTTATATTATTTTTTGTTGTTAGCTATAGTGTAACAAAGATTTTAAATGAACAAAGATGTAGCTAAACATCTTAATACATGAGAGCAGTTTGAAAATCATAATAAGACTGCATTAAGACCGAATTTACACTTTTTTATTTGCAGCTAGTTTTGTAAGTCCTCTACATTTTTTTTCTACTCCAAGCTTTAGTAAAACTGAAATGTTTACATTACAGCGTGCATGCTTCATCTTCATGTGGTAATATACAATAAGTTGCTGGTGTTGTCATATGTGGCAGTTAGATGACTATGACCAGCAGGACATTTAAAGTATTCATTTTCTTTCCCATATCCCTGTTCCCCTCCCACAGCCCAGTGTTTTGATAGTCAGCTATATCGAGTCTGCAAAGGCGGCGGCCCAGTTTGGCTTCTACCAGAAGGCAGAATGGAAACCAGACGACTCCATGATAGCTGTGGCGGTAAGTGCACCACTCTACCATCTTATCTCATATTTGTTCACACCACATGAAGTTCTGACACTGAGAAATTTTATCCTCAAATGTTACAAATCAACTATAGTTCAGTATTATATTATGATAAAGCCACTAGACATCACCAACACTATGATTATGTTTCATGTGATTGTAATATTGATGTTAAATGATTCTTGATATTGGGCTTCCTCAAGCAGCCCATTTATCAATTTCTTTTGCCAGTTAGGGTCGATTAGAGTAGCACATCAGAATCACACAGTCAAAGTCATAATGGATAAAATGATTACTTGAATTATTGCACCCGTGATAATTTGTTCCTGGACAGTTGAGTATTTTTGGGAGCGGCAGCTTAAACTGTGGTGCACCATCAGTATTGTTAAAATTTAAAATAGGGTTGTTGATCACCCACATTATTTCTGGAAGCGACTTGTGGCCATATCTGACTCAAGTGAAGAATTCAATCATCTTTGTAATCCACACACAGTATGATGTTGTTGGTGGGAAAAAAAAGTTTATATAAACTATACACATCCATACAGTCCTCAACCCAGTCTCGGTACTTAGCACAGTTGAAATGAGAGCACCTGCACAACAAGCCGCCTTGTTTCACTTGTTGCAGGTGTTGCACTTATCTGAGGGTTCTTACCACCGAGCTACCACCGATGTGTCTCACCTCTTATTCACCTCTTTTCTTTTCTCACCTCGTTCTTTCCACTCTTTGTAACAGGAGCCATTCCTCTTACCATTTTGCTAGCACTTTGATTTATTGCATGTGGAGTTTCTGGAGTTAGCGGGTCGAAGATGCTTCAGTAATTACTCACTGACAATAGAACTTTATCTGGATTCTTCTGCTATACAAAAGCACGCCGGCAGTTTCCTTGTTGCTGTACTGCATAAAAGTAGAACGAGCATGACAAATGCTTTAAAGAGGGAAATGAAAGTGTAGCTGCACGTCTCTAAACAGCAGTTTGCCCTATTTATTTCTGTTCTGCTAAATTCCAGATACAAGGAAGGTATTCCCGTGGCAGTGAGAGCAGAACTGACACACAGTCTCTCTCTACAGAGCTCTCTACATTGTGTTACAACTTCACTTTCAGTCACACACAGATCGTACGATGTGCAGCAGTGGGAAGATAATGTGAAGTTAGAAGTTTTAGGTGCTGTAAAGTTACTGTAAAGAAAAAGAAAAAATGAATAGATAAAGATGATAGAGAATTGTAACTGATTCAGTGTAAATAATCTTTCCATTCCTAGTCTCATAGTCACATGGGCATCTTATTAATTAATTGCTGGTCATATGATCTGACTAGTCGGAAACACTAGGTACACTGACCGGACTTCTCTTCAATCAGGAAACTGTTAGGAACTCTGCAAAAGGAATGCGATACCTGAAGCTAGACACGCTTTGACTTGCATTGTCATCACTTCAGGTGTGCATCTCGCAGAAGGCCACCAGTAGCTCCAGGTTTAGAGCTGCCAGATTGGCGACTTAGAAAACAATATGAGCTCTAAATGTTGTAATTTGGTCATATACTGCACTATCTGAAAGTGCACAGTTGGCTCTTAAAGTTAAACCCAATTGGATCCAACAGGAACATCCTGAAATTGCCAAATGACAGTAATTTGTAGATAAATCAATAAGGGTCACTAAACAGACTGGCCTGTCACATTTCAAGATGATAATACTCAGTTGCTTCAGTTACACTCTGCTTCTTATCTACATCAGTGTCACAATTCGTCCTCTGCTGATCCCAGTACTTTCTGTCTGACTGTGAGTCAATCAACTCAAAGTGAAACAGTAGCTCTCTCTCAAACAGGCGGTTGTTGTTCTGGGTTTTATAACTGCACTGTCAAAGTAGCCAGATAGTCTCTTTGGTGTACAAAGTGGTGGTGAGGTGGGGCGTCAATCACCTTTGCCCTTGAACCTTGACCTCATTCTTAACAGGTCAGGCTTGTGGGTGAGCTTTATGTTGGGAACTAAAAGGATCTAAAGGATCTAGCTACCTCAGCTCTTTTGGGAGATAGAGAGGGCCTCATTTTTTGTGTGTGTTTTGTGAATCACTTGAAATCTACCCGAATGCTGAACATGATGGGAAGGGAACACACCGCCAGTTTTTTTTTTCCCCCTTTTTTTTTTTTTTTTCCTGTTGAAATGATGATGAAAATTCTCCTCCAGGATCTTCCTTCCTGTCGTTATAAATCCATCCTTGGGTAAACTCTGGAGATGAAGCCAAAACCAAAAGAATATGTAAATTATCAGCCCACAAAGCTTAAAAATTCATGCTCATTTCCATGAAGATGAAGTGATGATGTTCTCACCAGCATGTAAGCCCACACAAGCTTAGTGATGTTAGTTTAGCCAGATTTCTCCTCCGCTATCAGCCTCCAGTTGGATCATCATATCTATTGCAGTTCCGTTCCCTGACCATATCTATTTTTCCTGAAAATCTATAACATGAAATGTAGATAGTAATGGGTATGACTAGATTTTATGCATGCAGTAAAATATCCACTTATTATCATTTTCAATCAGCTGTCAATGTTTACACCTTTTTTTTTCCAGCAGAGTGTCCAGACCTACATTGCTTTGAAAAGTGAAAGTCCACTATCCATTGACAGCTATACTGACCTTGTTGTGTCCAGTCTTTATAACAGAGGCTCCACTGAGGTCAAGAGGAAATGCTGCACTATTTGCTCATAATATTAGTGTATAAACAGTGGTGGTGTTCATAGAGAGACAGCAGGTTGTGATGCCCACAGGCAGCAGAGTGTCCCTCAAGGCAGCAGAGTGCATCATGGCTGGATTTACTGAGATGCTATTTTCAGGATGGCACATTAATTATTTTCTTGGTGGAATATAAATCACTCTTATCACATGTAATCCCTGGTAATGAGTCCTGTGTTGAGCTACTGTCTTGAATACATAATGTGAGTTCAGAGAGGGAACAGGGGGATGCTTCATCTGCTGTGTCAAACATGTTGAGGTAGACAAAGGAGCCTGAGACGTGGTAATGAAATCAGCCGGTTTATCTTAGGATCATCATGTAAATAAACAGAAAGCTTATGTTTACATGTGAGTAATAGAAGCACTGATTCAGCTGGTTGCTGTTGCTTGTGGTCTAATGCCTTTGTTTGACATAAAATGCTAACTTAATGACAATCATTTAGTTCTAACGTTCATAAGAAACAGAAGCAGCACAGCGTTGATAAAGCCTTGATAAAGAATATCTCAGAAAGAGCACTTTGACACAGACGAGCAGTGATAATGAGAGCCAGATGTGTAGTGACGTAATGCACCGAAAAATATGACACTCCACCTTTTGCAAAATTGGGGACAGCTGAACTTCATGGTACATCAACCTCTGACATTTTCTGTTCTTGTTACCATTACTCATGATTGTTATGCTGAGCACCCAGCAGCAGCCAAGTTAACTGTGTGGAGGAAGTGTCTCATTTAGTAATCTCACACAAGGCAAGTGCCCGAGTCAGCAGATGACTCAATCAGCTTCCAAAGGCCATGTGACCTGCAACACATAGGACAACTGCCAACACACAGAACAGCAGCAGACGGCATCAAAACAAACCGCACAAAGAGAATCGATTAATTAGAATCGTTAGCGTATACCGCTTTGTGTTTGCTTTTTGTTTTGTATTTGGACTCTGCGAGCTGCCGGGACTGTATAAGTGTTATTAAGAAAGTTTGAATGAACACGGCTCTATTAGAGTCTGTAAAACCTGATCGTGTATGAAAATACAGCACGTGTCTGAGAATAATAAATTAGCCATGATTAATACCATAACTAATACTGGGTTTTCCTCATATAATCATGTGTGTCGATTTAGTGGGATAATCTGTCTTTTCATATTGTGGGACCATAATATTATTGTAAAAATGTTTGTGCTCTGTGGTTTAGCAGCTTCTCCATGAACACACCATATTATTTGACTTCTTGTTTCCACACTTACAATGTGCTGGGTCAGAGTTTTTCTTATATTTACATTTGGAAATTTAGCGTATGGCTGTTTTTTATATTAAGTAATTAAAAAACAGGGCTATACATTACTTCTTGCAAGCCTGTATCTGAGCAGTTCAGTGTAATGCAGTTTAGTTATGCTCATTAAATATTTCATCAAAAACCTCAACCGAGATAATTTTTTGTAAACACTGGCAGGAAATCCTGTCAAGGGCACAAGATGCTGTTTAGAAGTCAGTGTGTCAGGCAGCAGTACGTGTTTGTCCCAAAACACTACCACTTGTCCTTGAAGCCATTCTGTTGAAAATAATGTTGTTAACGTTGTTAAAGGGGCTGCAACACGTACAGGCCTCTTTGTGCAAAAGGACAACGTCAGTATGACATAAATGTTTCGATTCAAGTATTATTTAAAAAAAAAAAAAGAGTATTAATATACAGTATTTGTGGCTCGGTCAGAAAGGTTTTCAAAAGTCCAGAGAATGCCCTGGAAATTAAGGCTGTTGGAAAAACAATGGACGGAAATTTTCAGTGGGCAATGCAGTTTTCAGAGGTCTCTAATGGTGTCGTGTAAATGCTTTGACTGCTAGTTCATGTCAACAAAAAAATGGCAGATTGAAGATTGAAGTTGTGAAGGTTGCATCATTTATTAGAAAATATTAGTGGGTTAACCTCTTGGCCTCTATCTCTGCCTCTCTCTCAGTCCAATCAACCCTCCCTCTTGTAGTGGTGCCAAAGTACACATGAGTGAATGCTGTGAATGCGTCTGGGAAAGCAATAAGTCAGGCCCAGTCCCGGGCCCACCCAGCCAAACACAACAGGGAGCGGGTGCAGGAGATACCAAAAATACCAGGGCATACTTGTTCACTCACTCACCCGGGTACCACAAACAGAGTTTGGTTCTGACTCTGAAAACTATTAAAAGTTCATGCGGGTAGGAGTGGAGTTACTCTTTGCTTGTGTGACAAAAAAATGTGTCAAAATACCGCTGTCACAACCACAAACTGTGTGTCT